GAGATTTACAGGATAGTGAAACAGAGAAATACAAGGCTTTATATTGTAATCTTTTAGCCATTCACTAGTCTGAGGCAGTTTACTAACCAATTCCCAGAGGACTCCGTTATGATTTTTACAATGGCGTTACCCAGACACATCACTTGAGAAGGTGAAATTTCTGCTATTGAAATCACAGCTCCAGAAACGGTAATTAATGAGTGGAGCGTTGCCAGTTCGCACTATTTTACTGTTAACCTTGAACCACTGGGCATTTTGCATACGCACACACAGCCCCCTCCCATTCAAAGCCAGCCCATCCAGGGACGCAGTTTTGGAATGTAAAGATTTATCTCAACTCGCTTTCCTTTTAACCTCCTAATTCCAAAGAAAAGCTTGAAAACATGGCCACAGTGTAGGGTGAAGGCACAAAAGCTGGAAGTGAGACACTACAGACAAAAGCAAGAAGATAAACTCCTTAATTTTGGAGGCTGGCAATACCATGTAGTCCAAGGCAGGTAGAACCTCAGCCCGCTCCTCTGGGAACCTTTGCAGAAAACGTAGCAGCTCATCCTTGAGGAGGGTCCTTGGGGCATCCCAGAGGTGCCTGCTGCCTTGTGTGCAGAACAGGGTTGCTTTGCCACAAGTGCATGCTAATACAAGTTGTTATAACAACTTTTCATTTCAAGATACCTTTTTCAGAAGATAGATTTTGATGTAACTGCATCTTATTTAAGTCCTAAAAAGGTGAAAGTTGTACGTTAGTGCTTTTACGTGATCTCCCCATGAAGCTGTGATGCAGAGCAGGTAATGGAGCTGTAACATAATTGATGTGTAAAGCTTGCTGGGCAATTGTGCTCTCAGCGCGTGATTCTCCATTGTATGAGGCTGTAAAAAGAAATTGTGCTTCATTTCTAAGAAGGACACAATATGTCTGTCCCTATTAATAGTAGGTGACTGTCAGCTCTCGTTTGCTTCTGTTATATTGAACTTCTAGCAACCAACTCATTTGTTTAAGGGGAGACATTTTACATTAAAAGAGTAAGAGGCAGCCAAAGTTCTTATAAAGAATAGGTTAGGAGTCGTCTTTTCCTTGAGGAATGTGGTTTGCCTGCAGGGATGAAGAAGCCTGCTTGTGAAAAGTTTTGTGCTGGACAGAATGCAGCAACCTCCTGAAGTGATGTGACAGGACTCCCTTTATTTTTAACCTTTCTTAAAATAATTGAAATGAAAAATAATAGGAGCTGAGAGATCCTCCATTTTACAGCCAAGGAAATCACTTCGGTTGAATTTTTTTGTTTCTTTTATTTTTTTGTTGTTGTTGGGTTGTTTGGTTTTTTTTTAAACCCAGAAGGGGTTTGTAAATGGTTTTGAACAAAGATTTTGCTCATGTAAATAATAAAATTGGAATTCATCAGAGACATTCTTCTAAGGGGCAGACTTGCAACATCTGGCATACTTTTCAGGCCTTTTTTTTCCCTTTTATTAAAAATTTATTGATGAATTTATTATTAATGAACCTAAGTATCATTGATTGAAGCCTGCACATATGCTAGTTATTTTGATGGGGACTCCAAAATTATACCTGTCACAACAGAGCAGTTAAAACTAATGGGATTTAATAATATATACTAAATAAATCAGGAGAAGTACAGTACAGGAAAAGCACTGCAGAAGATTGGTGTATACATTTGCAGTGCTCTGCTGGAGTGGTGGTGTCGTGGCCCACTCTACCCCGTAGCAGTGATGTGCTGCTGGGCATGAGAATGATCAGGTACCTTTATCATGCAGGATCCAGTCTTGATCACACTAAGAGAAGATAAGTCTTCTGCGTAGGCCTAGAAAAATATGATTGTGTCCCTTTTTGAATCCTTCACAATAGGCATTTGAGTATAAATAAGGTGACATGGTGTATAATGAGAGCACAATATGTTATTGTTTGCAAGAGCATTTTCACGTGGGTGGTGTTAATTTGAAAAGTTTCACTCTGGGGAGCTAAGTAATATTTAATATGTTGTGATTGATACGTACCTAAAAATATGCAGAACATACTTGAACAAATGGAGCATTGATTTCCCCTTTTTTTCCCTCTAAATAGCTTGTTACTGATTTTTAACCAGTAGGATTTTTTATGCCATGTGAGTGCTGCTTAGCTTCCATTAAAAAAGTCTCAGTACAGTCCATAGAAACAAATGGTTGGAATTTGAAGTATTATAAACTATGTTTTAAAAAAAATGCAGATTTGAATAAGAGCCAGAACAGACTTAATTTTTCTAAAAATTCCCTGCTTGTTGCTTGGTGGGGCAACTGCAGCTGGGTGTAGACCAGGCTGGTTACAGTCTGTAGGAAATCAGAAATTCAAGTTGTCCTGTGTTTGGGGCGGGGGTGGACAGGGACACGACAGTCTCCATTTCAGAAATGAGAAGTTCCTCTGTAGCTCTTTGTGAAAGAGTGACCTCCCATCTCAGCTGTCCTCTTGGGACGGACCAGCTTGCATGTGCCTCTTCTCTCAGAGCTGTTGGTACCGAATTTACAGTTCATGTGTTCAGGGACGTGACCTTACCAGCAAAAGGACGGGCTCTGACACTTCGGTGGGTTGGGTATGCAATCCAACCCCTCCTTTTACTTCAGAAAAGACAGTATGTGTTCAATATTTCCATCTAGACAACTAATAGCTGCCTGCTTTTGATTTTTCTCTCTTTTGAGGAGCATTTAGGCTTAGCATCGTCTACAAAACCCAGGCAGGATATCCCTGCTTTCTTGCTTCTCTGAATCTTGTAATCTTTCTGTCTCTATCTTAAGACAACTTGCTGCTGCTGTCATCACTTCTTGCTGTCTTCATTGTGTCCCCTTTTCTTTGCTCTTCTCCACTCCCTTCTGTCTTTAGATTATTGCTGATCTGCATCAAGCAGCAGGAAGATAATGTGTTCAGTAATTGAGGTGCAACCTGTTCTTGCCAGCAATTTCACTTTAAAAATTTAGTTTTCATGGCTCCCAGCCATGGCATTCACCAAAAGCTTTCTATTTGAATAAATACTGTCAAAGCTTAATGCCCTCATTGTCCTATGGTATTTGCAGCAATGCCTTTTTTAAATGTACGTTTTATTTCTGTATAAAGACAAAAAGCAGCAAAGACAAGCTCAGAGAAGAATTCAAGGTTCTGAATTCGGGATACTTCCCTTGCACACCCATGTCCAAACCCGGGCTATGCGCTAATCAGGAAGCAAGGAGCATCTGCCTTCTTAATTGGATTGTTTTAAAGTTTTATGCTGTCTGTGCAATTTCAAATTATGGCAGTGATCCTGCAACACTGAGGTCGATGAGATTACTGATATGCATAGTTATTCACGAGACAAGCCTTTGCAGACTGTATTTAGTGGTCTGGGGAATCATGCAGAATAAAAATCAAGTTGAAACTGTATGGGATTTTTCTCTTGTCTTTTGCTAGAATTCATATTTTTAAACAATTTTGCTGGCTCTTTAATATTAATGAGGAGCCCTGATCTTTCATTATACATATTCAGTTATTCACCTGACACAAAGGTGAAGAAAACCTGAGAGGATTTTTTTAATCTAAAGGGTGTCTTCAGTTTTCTCTCTTCTAATCTAATATTTTACATTTAAAAGGAAAATATATAAATTGTGACTCAGAAAATCATCAGAACAGCATTGAAATAGTTAAATACGGCTATGTCCTCAAGCTCCCAAAAATAAAGCATAAGCTAGTGCTTAAGTAAGGATTGTTCTCCTAAACTGGGGAAACAGAAGGGAGAAACATAATTCATGTTCTTAGATCAGGCAAATTCCAAGTTTAATTTATCCCATGAACTTCTCAATCCAAAAAGGTTTTGATTTGTTCTTTATCTCACAGCATTTGTAGTCCGTAAGTCTGTTTCATAGCATAAATGTCCACTCTTCAGTTTTGACCATGGAAGAGTGTAAGCAGCTTTCCTTTTTTTCTTCCAGTTAGGCCTGTTCTCCTGATGCTGTGTGTTGATGTAAAATATGCAGTCAATATTTTAACGCTGTGAAAATACAGTATAATCACAGACCTTCTTAAGCTCCCTTTTCCTCCTTTCCTCTTTTTGTATCCCACCTATTAAACTGAAGATGTTTGTCATTAACTACCAGGAGGAGGCATACAAGAGGGTAAGGTCAAGCTAATGAGGTTACTCTGGTTTATCTTCTCACCTCTAAATTGCAGGTACCTATGCTGCATTTTGCTTTTGTGCAGAGCCCGGTCACAGCTGGTTTTACCTTTTCCTTTTCCTTGGACTCGTGTGTATTTGAAATTGATACTTAATTTCTTTTTTGAAGCAGGAATTTTCATATTGACTTCTTTTAAAATAATCTTCATGAAGTGCAGTACAAGGATAAGGCAGTGGATAACCACGAAATAACCTCAAGTCCAGCCGGTGGTGCAGGCTAGGGGTGAGGGGAGGAAGATCTGCACAAGTTCCAGCAAATATAAAGATGGAAATACCACGCATATTTGTCAAATTCATCCAAATGAAGCCTTTTGAAATAAGCTTGAATGTTGCAAAATCCTCTGCACATTACCACACTTACCATACAGGTGAAGGTGATCCAAGGCTGCCTTATGGCAGTTAGTGTTAGGCGGTGCCTGCTCTGACGTGACTTCCCAGATGGGAAGCGAGTGTTTAGAAGAAGAAATGCTCATCCTCAGATTCAGCTGCAGAAGATCCTTCATCTGAAAACAGCAAGGCGAAAACTCGGGAAGAAAAACTAGTGACACAGTGGAAAAAAAACGGTCTTAAACTAAACTGTTTGTAGTACACGTGTAGCTTAATGTCATATCATAGTTACCATTCATCCTAAAAAGATCTTACATGCTTTTACAAAGTTTTAGTAACTACTTTTAAGCTTCTCAGTTTCACTCCTGGCCTTGTAAAAGCTCTGAACTTCTGCAGAGAGTAATTTCAAAACATTCAGGTGAAAGGTGGATACGTGTGCCTATGTGAAACCTTCTGATGAGATTCACCCATTTTTCTTCCCACCAGGTTTGGAGGAGACCAGCCGGTGTACATCAATATTATTAGAGATCCCGTCAATCGATTTTTATCCAATTATTTTTTTCGACGTTTCGGAGACTGGAGAGGAGAACAGAATCACATGATCCGTACCCCCAGCATGAGGCAGGAGGAAAGATATCTGGTATGTTTAAATGAAAGGCTCTGATTACTGGTTTCCCAGCATCATTACATAATGCTGATGTTCAGACTGGATGCTTGAAAAATGGGAGACTGAGGCATCTTCTGTCTTGCGTTTTTTCCCGTCTTTGTCTTGCCTGGACCTTGGTTTGGTCAGCTTTAGTATGTAGAGCGTTGCTGATGAATTCAGTGATCCAGTTTGTTCTTGTATAAGCTGACAGCAAGTCCCAGATTGCCACCGTTGAATTACAATCCTTTCACTGAGTTGGATTTGCACTGTATAGTGGTTAGGCATAATAATTCTGCCCATATTTATCACTGTGAGTATTCAGGCAGATTTTTAGATTGAAACTATGTCTAACTGTGCAGCCTCAGAGGAAAACCGGGAAATGGAGCAATTCAGTGAGCCCAAGTCTCCAATGTTCTTGCTGGTAAGTTGTGCACAGTGTTCTTTATACCAGGGCTCCAGTCTCAGTTCTTGGTTTGGTTTTGTTGCCTTTTTTTTGCATTAAGAAGGTGTCAATAACACTGGATAAGCTGTTCATAAGTTTTAATCTTGCGCAACTGCTGAGCTGTCATAACGCCTGTCAGCCTTTGTCACAAAGGTCCCATGACAGTAGGTGTTCTACAAATGCTGAATGAGAAACAGAAGCTAGGGAGGTGGTCGCTTTGTTTGTTACAGATCTCTTTGCGTGCACACCAACACCTCCCTAAGAAGGCAGAAAGGTGGAATTAGTTCTTACCCTCTCTATAATGGAGATCCAGTTTGATTGGACTCAGCCTTCAGCCACACTTGAACCTGCAGAGGGTTCAACGACACAGCAGTGACAGGAGAGCTCGATGGTCTGCTATGAGATGTTGCAGGCCAGACATAAAATCAAAACAAGAGAGGGCTGTGTCTTCTGGAGAACAAAGAGAGAGGATGTTTTGATGATGTTTTGGAGGGGCAGGACAGTACAAGACGTGATGTGGATGAGCTGTAGAGAACACAGCTCTGAACGACTGCCACACAACACGTTTCGGTCCTAGCTGAGGTCAGATGGATCCAAGGAGGGCTGGGTTTTTTTCCGTATGACAGGGCTGTGTTGATTTCTTCTGTACTTTACTACTGTTGTTTGTCATGCAAAGCCCTGTGAACAGATAAGCTTATAAATTAGGAATAATTGAAGGAGAGGGTTATCAGTGTAACTATGTATAGCCTTAAACTTTAATGACATCTGCTATACAGATCTAGACTCATTTCAATAACGTTGCAAAGGGTTTCTTATTTGCTATAAGTCTAGAGATGCCAAAGAGGTCCCTGTGTCAGCTGAGGAGGTTTTGACCTCCTGGCGTGCAGAGGTGGAAGGCAGTCCCAACAGCTTTGCATGCCGTGTGCATGGCCTTTTGTTCCCTTGTCCGTGAGTGGGACAGGGGGGGTTGCAGAAATGAATGTGGGCTGGGTTTTTTACTGCATGATTGTTTTGCTAGCGCTGTCATGTTTTCTTTTTTGAAAATGTTAAAAATCAGCAATACAGTTTGTACTTTGCTCTGAGTGCCTCTACTTCTCATTTGAAGTGGAACGTGCAGGGATTGGCACCTCTCACAACTGACTGACTCTGTAAAAGCTGGTATTAATTCAGAACCGCCTGTGCAGTTTAAGATGTGATATGTACAGCCAGTGAAATTTTGCTTCAAGCAGAACTGAAATGAATAGATCTAATCCCTGTTGTTTGTGTTGATTTAAAAGCTAATAGAAAGAAATCACCTTGCATTTTCATTTGCGTTGGGATGTTCTTTAAGAAATTAATTATTTATATGCACGCACACACATATGTACACATCCACAGATCAGTACAAAAGCAATAATGAAAAGGAAATAAAAAGTCGCCATCTGAGGTCAGTAGTCATTTTGCTCAAAAGGCAATTTGGTGGCCTGAGGCACCATCAGCATCCTTTATAAAAACTATTTTTGCTTTTTCGTTTTGGTCTTCTCTGTTGGTAATTCAGTGTTAGAAGCCTGGAAATGTTTTTGGAATCTGTCCTCCATCCCTCCTTGGAAGGCTTTGGCTGTCACTTGCACTGCTCAAAGAGGGCAGTTCCTCCTGTCACAGTAACGTATAGGCCACCCACCAGTGAAATTCATTTTAACAAAAGCCACTCATTCCGAATGTTAAGCATTTTTAAGACTTGTGCTATCCAACTACATAATGTATTGCATGACTGCATTTTAATCTTTTCCTCAGTGGTGCAAGGAAATCTGCTGGCATATATTTTAAAACTCAGGTAGTGGATTTTGTGGAAGGGTAGCTTCAGAAATCTGCTAAATCAATTGCCTGATCTAGCTGTGAAGAAAGTAAGCAGATGGTTTTACCTCTGAGCATAAGCCAGTGCAGCCCTTTAGCACACGACTGATGGCTGGCCTGATTGCTGGCCTCATACCTTTTGCAGTTCTTCCCTAATATTTATTTTTCTTCTTTTTTTTTTTTTTTTTTTTTTTTAAAACTCCCCCTA